AGCGTCGCCGCTCCCGCCAGGTGACGTCGATCGCTCGGCCCCCCCATCCTGGAAACGCACCCCCCGACCCCCCAATCTCCCTGGCACCCGCGTCTCTCGTCCCAAGTCCAGCTATCGACTGGCCCTGGCAGAGAGGGGCGGCATTGACGACGCCCGCCCCCCCCTTGGTTCTTGGCGGCTGCCCTCGTGCGCCCAGAAACCCTCATGTCCCCGCGGTCCACGTCCAGTTCACGGATTGTCCTCGTAGTGAGCGGCGGCTTGTTGGTCGATGGCGCGGCATCGGGCGGCGCGACGGCGAGAGGCGGTGGCACGACGGCGAACGGCGTTGCAGGCGGCGCGGTGGTGGTGAACGGTGGCGCGGCGGCGAGCGGCGTTGCACGTGGCGCGGTGGTGGTGAACGGTGGCGCGGCAGCGAACTGCGGTGCACGTGGCGCGGTGGTGGTGAACGGTGGCGCGGCGGCGAGCGGCGTTGCAGGCGGCGCGGTGGTGGTGAACGGTGGCGCGGCGGCGAGCGGCGTTGCAGGCGGCGCGGTGACCGGTGGCGGTGGTGTGGCTGCGGTAGACGGCGCCGCCGGCGATGGTGGTGTGGAAGTTGCCGGCGGCGCCTGTGAGAGTATGGCAGCGGGTGAAGTGGGAGGTCGGGCATACGGTGAGGGGGGTAAGAGAGGCGGTGAAATATACTCAATTAGAAACGGTGCGGCGGCGACATTCGAATCTCCCCCCTCGTCCGCCGGCGCCGGCAGCTCCAGCGGCGGGGTCAGCAACGGCGCGCGGTCGGAGACCCACACGACGTTGTTCGTCATGCACACGCGCCCCGTCGCGAACTTGAGGACCTTGACCACCGACTCGTGATGGTTGTCGCCGTTGTTGAGGTAACAGCACAGCACTGCATGGGGATCCATCTTCCTCGCGCGCGTCACACGCATATACCCCGGCTGCAAGAACGGGACGATCTGGAGCGGTGGCGGGCGACCGGTGAAGAGCTCGTGCGGCGACTTGTACCCGACGTTTGCCTTGGTCGGAGAACGGTTGAAGCCGCCGGCAGCCCAGTGACACGATTCTAGCCAGAGTCGCTCGCCATCGCGCCCGAAGCCGGGGACGCGGGTGAAGTCGATCTTNCCGGCAGCCCAGTGACACGACTCTAGCCAAAGTCGCTCGCCATCGCGTCCGAAGCCGGGGACGCGGGTGAAGTCGATTTTGGGGAACAGGCAGCGCGCCTCGAGGNCCAAAGTCGCTCGCCATCGCGTCCGAAGCCGGGGACGCGGGTGAAGTCGATCTTGGGGAACAGGCGGCGTGCCTCGAGACGAGCGGCGTGGCCGGCCTTGTTCACGCGCCAAATCGCACTCTCCGCCGGACCATTCTGCTGCGGGGTGCCCGGCGCCGTGTACGTACGGCGGATGCCGGCGTTGTCGCAGAAGGCGATGAAGTCGCGGCTGACGAACTCCCCCCCGTTGTCCATCCGGAAAGAACGAGGGACACCGGTGCCACTCCTGTCGGCGAGGAACTTCTTGACGAAGGCGAGGTTGTCCGACTTGCGCCTCATCCCGTATAGCTTCATCCACCGCGAGAAGCTGTCCACGAACATGATCATGAAAAACGAATCCCCCAGCGAGGCCGTCATCGGCCCACACAGGTCGATATGCCAAAGATCGTGCGGCCGCTCCGCGCGCGTGCCCGATTGGTGAGGCACGCCCGCCTTCGTCTCCTTCGCCTGCAGACATCCACCACAAGGCTGCAGGACACCGGTCAATCGGAGACCGTGCTGCTTCGCAAGCTCACGCAAAAGAAACTCATTGGCGTGGGAGCACGAAACGTGGAGAAGGTTAACGTGAATAATTTTGGTGGGTTTACTCACCGAAAAAGGGCGCTTGCCCGGGGCCATGACGGGGACAGCGAAAGCAACATCATCGAAGACATTTGCAAATCCAGCCTCAAACATCAAGTCTAACAACTCGTAGGGGTCTTCGGGNCAAAAGAAACTCATTGGCGTGGGAGCACGAAACGTGGAGAAGGTTAACGTGAATAATTTTGGTGGGTTTACTCACCGAAAAAGGGCGCTTGCCCGGGGCCATGACGGGGACAGCGAAAGCAACATCATCGAAGACATTTGCAAATCCAGCCTCAAACATCAAGTCTAACAACTCGTAGGGGTCTTCGGGTACCTCTCTTTGTTCCAATAGGTACACAGCCCACTCGTAATCTCCCTGCTCCGTGTACGGAATGCATCCACGGTCATCGTCGTCATTACTCTCCTGAAAAATGGAGATGTCGGGCGAGGGCAGCCCGGGAACAGCTACCAACTCCATACCATGCGGCACTTGAGAAGCGGAAGAAAACACCACACTCCTGTCAGCGGGGGGCGGGGCATACATTGCCGGAGGAACGACGCTGCTCGCAGCGGGCGGGAGACCGTACACAGTTGATGACACTACGCTGTTTGCAGCGGGCGGGAAACCGGGCACAGTAGAGGGCACTACGCTGTTTGCAGCGGGCGCGAAACCGGGCACAGTAGAGGACACTACGCTGTTTGCAGCGGGCGGGAAACCGGGCACAGCAGAGGGCACTACGCTATTTGCAGTGGGCGGGAAACCGGGCACAGTAGATGGCACTACGCTGTTTGCAGCGAACGGGAAACCAGGCACAGTAGAGGGCACTACGCTGTTTGCATCGGGCGGGAAACCATACATCGTGGAAGGTATGACGCCGGCAGCAACGGGCGGAAAATTCGACACGGTGGGTTGAACAACACTCCTGGGAACGGTTTGAGGTACAGACATCACCGGAGGCACTACGCTGCTTTCAGCGGGCGGGACACCTGACACTGCGGAAGGAACGTATGCTACACCCGGAGGGGGGGGGAACACCGGTGGGGTTTCTGACATCACTCTACCATCACTCGCATGTAAACGGTAAACGTACACCAGCAGCGCGGGGAGGGGGCACCGGGGGAAAAAACATCACAGGCACAGCGGTGGGCGTTTGACAGTTGGGCGGCAAGCGTGTGGCCCAAAGCGACGAACCCCTCTCGCAACGGGGAAAGGTCAATTGGCCATAGAAAAGATGGGTGCCTACGTCGTCCAAGGCAATACGTTGTAATCCCTGTGCTTGGTGGAGGGAGAAAAGATTGAATCCCATTCCTTCTACATGACGTACTTGGGTAAGCTTCACGCAAAAGTCTCTACCTTCAAGATGAAACCTCACGTTTAACATCCGATTCCAAGCACTCGCATGGTCCTGCCATCACCAATCCGCACTCTCTCGCTACCAAGGGGCGGGATGATCACATCGTACATAGTCGTGGGGTCTCCGGTGGTGTGGTTTGTTGCACCGGAGTCTGCAAGCCATTCTTCAACTCCTACACGCTCGGCCCTCACAGCCTGTATAGAGTTCATCAAGGCATACCCCTCACCCCCTACGAATCCACTCGAAATCTCACTCTGGTATTCGCTTGACATGTCCCTTACACCGCGCGCATGCAAAGTCCCCCCTGCCGACGAAGGTGCTCTGGTCGAAGGTGCGGGAGAGGCGTAAGGGGCGGGGACTGGCTGCTGCTGTTGGAAAGGGGGGGATAGGTACTCCGGCTGCTGCTGTTCTGGTGGGTATTCGTACACACCGCTCGCGTGCGTCACCGGTTGCTGATAAACACCGGTCACGTGCGTCACTGCATGCCCCCCCGTAGATGGTGCTGCCATCTTCGCCACCGTCGCTCCTGCTGCTCCTGGCTCGACCCCTTCTCCGCCGTACTGCTGCGCGGTGTTGGCCTGCCCGTACGAGTGGGCCCACGGCGGCCGCTGGCTGTAGCCACCGGCCGGCGGCCGGGGCGGTGGGGGCCTAGGCGGCGCGTAGGCGGCCGGCATGCCAGCTGGCCTTCCGACATCAACACGCGAAGGACAGAACAGATGGTTGTGGCCGAGTTCACCGCAGTTCTCACACCGCTTGCGAGGGTCATTCGGGTGGATGGGAGGTTCATTTCCCTGCGGGTGGTACATGTGGGGGGGGTAGGCGCTGTAGTCGTAGCCCCGCTGAGGTACAGGGTAGGCGGGGAGGTTGCTGCCCGGCGGTCCCTGGTGGAAAGGGCCCCTGCCCCTCCCACCGGAAGCGGCGCCACGCCCCCCGAATCTTCCTCCTGCCGGCTGCTGCTGATGACGTCCTCCTCCAGAAAAGCCCCGGCCCCCATGCTGGGGCCCGTGCCTTCCGCCGTAGCTCGCACCTTGGCCGCCCGAGGGACCTCCCCAACCCCGCTGCAAGCGACATTCCTCGTTGCTGTGCGACGAGGAGTTGTGGACACAATATTATATCTCAGGCGGGTACGGCGGCGGGTGTACCTGTTGCTGCTGCTTGAAGTACGGCTGATGCTGCTGCTGTGGCTGCTGCGGTTGTTGCTGCTGTTGCCGCGCTGCCGTCCTCCGTTGTCCTCTCGTCTTCCCCCTATCCCCCATGTTCCCGCCCCCGCCACCACGGTTATCACCGCCAGTGACGAGGGCATACGCCCACACGCTCTCCGACGCCCTCTTCCTAGCGGCCTCCGTCTCCGCCCAGGCAGTCAGAATCACCTTCTCTACCAATTCCGTCTTGACCTCCGAATGCGCCAACAACACGCTCCTCTGCACATTGAAATCGGGCAGAAGGTTGCGTACATAGTGGACGTTAGCATCATGATCGGATTGCACCCAACCGTACGCTTCTAGTTTCTGGCGAAGTACTGATGCTCGTGTGAGATAGCGCCGGGGCTCCTCCCCTACTTGCTGCTTCAACGAGTACCACTGCCCCTGCAACTCCAACTTGTCCGATTCTGCGTGCACTCGGCAAAAGTTGAGAAATTGATCCCACGATTCAGTGGGGCTACCACTATCTAGGATTGCAGGGACTATCGTCGGTACTTGTATCTTGGATATAATAAGCTGCCAAGCCTTAAACGCCCGATCTACAGCTTCCGTCCCATGCTCCACCTTCAATGCCGAGATATTCGCATCCGTGTTCCCTACACGAATCGTGTTCTTCGATTCTATTGCCCCAAGGCAACGCTCCTGCTCCAACAAAGATCGAAATTGACTGGTGAAAATCATTACCGCCGTCTGTACATCATCCTCGGGGCTAAACTTCCCTGTGAATGCAGGGATTGTGATACCTGCGCTAATACGTATTGTTTCTTTAGGGGTTGGGACTTCCCTGTATTCATCCTCCGGTCTTATCTTGACCCTCTGCAAGGCCCGCGCGAGGGTGTCGATGAGGCTGACGTCCGCCGGCGATCGGGGCTGGTCTTCGGGTCGCGGGCTTGACTCCGAGCCAGCCGGCCTCTCCAGCCGGGTGTCGCCTCCTTCGGAAGGCGTGCCCTCGCTCTGTGTTGCGGGGCGCTCTGCTGCTGCTGCTTCTTCTACTTTGATCTTGACCTGCTCCTTGATAAGAGCGTCGATTACGTTTCGCTGCTCGTCCGAGAGCTGGAGCTCATCCAGCTTCTGCTCCATAACTTCCGTGTCACTGTTCTCTGGCCGAACACTTTTGTAGCTAGCCCCACCTCGGGATCCCGTATGATATAACAACGCTAACGTGTTAGGATAATCCGAACTGGGGGTAGCTTGTCGCAAGACGTGTGTTGAATGGGGTATCGGCAACTCGTCGAGCTTGCGCCGAGGAGAAAAACTTGTTGTGATTAGTTGCATCGACATACACACACACAAGCCCCGTTGAGGGGGCGACGCCGTATACAACAGGAGTACCTTGTACATCCCTGGAATCCATTCTACGTACCACACATGTCACCCGGTATTCCGCTCTACCTCATTCCATGGAAACATCCAGCACCAACCACTTGGCATTGCTACAAGTATATCTATCATGTATGTTGGCGTCTCATGCGAGCCACACGGGAGACATGACCAGTTTGGAGCAAATAGATATGAAAATTTTCGTCCAATGCAGCGCTCGGGTCTAGGGCGAAATTGCATTATAGGACAACATAGCACATGCGGCGCACAGACGTGGACTCCTGTTGAAATCGATGTCAAAATCGTCTTTAACACAGAATACTCCTCACAAATAATGGATCTAAAGTCCGGCTTGTGCACTGAACTGGGGCGGGTGACCTGAGAGCAAAGTTCATGGCACCTTGCATAGCTGCATCTTCACCGGTTGCATTCACGTTCCTGCAACTTTCGTATACTCAACATCGTATCATAGCAGCGCCGCCAAGTACTCTCCAAACCAAATCGGACTGGCTCTTTTCTCCCTGTCCCCCCTGTCTCCAACACCAACCAACACACCTTGCATACCCTGGGTATGGGCTGTAGTATGGTTCCTTGGTGCTTGAACGCCTGGTGACGACGTCCCGTCTTCTCTGCGCGTGCTGCCCTCCCTCGGCGTCGTCCCCTGGTGCTGCCGATGTGTTGGTGCTGATGCGGGTCCGCACGAGAGATCGAAAGGTTTATTAGTAGTCGGCCTCGTGACCTGGCGGGGGCGGGGGCAGCAGTGCTCCCACTCGCGCCTGCGAGTGTGCTCTTCGCCGCATACTTGGCACTTCTATAAGAATGGAAATATCTGAGAATCTTATGCTTCCCGGCATTCGCCTCCTGACGGCCCTGGCATGCCGATATTTTATTTGGATATGATATGTGTGACACTTTTGTGACCACCGCGCCGCCGGCGGTGGAAAAAGGGGTTCCGTGCGATCACACAAACACTGCCCGCCCCAAGATATCGGACCCAGGTTAGCACGTGATCACTCTTTTTCCAGCGCCGCTTGCCCTGATCGGTTGTGTGTGTGTCCGTTAGTTTCTCTGTTTAGACATGTTTTATTTTTTTCTCCGTCCGCCACTCGCCACCATCCTCCCCCACCGTCACACTCTCCAAACACAACACGAACCCACACCTCCTACCTCTGTCACACACCCACTCCTTGGTCAACGGTGCCTTCATCTGGTCGCACCCAAGGATGGTCTGCCGCTGCGGTTCGCCATTCCCTTTCTGCCGCCAGCGACAACGTCGAACGTGGGCGCTCTGTTCGCCGCACGTCCCGGCCACGTAGTCGAGCGGCGACAGACAAGTACACGTCGAGCAGGGGAAGGGGGGCAAGAGGACTTCCCGTGCAGCATCGGAGGTGAGTTCATGCAGGACAACATGTGGCGTCCTCACACCCCTCTCTTCCGCCGTAGGACGATCACGATCTCATGTTTTCCAGGGCGCAGCAGATTCGTTTCGGTTGTGCCGCGAAAAAAAAAGAAACGTTTACCTTTGTTATGAGTTGTGTGTCATGGCCCTCCTTTTTTTCAAATGGTAAGTTGTTTATAGTCGCCACAGGTGCCCTTCCCGCGCCTCGACAACGGTCCTAGATAAGGGAAGTACCTATACCTCATAAACGTCCGAACGCTCCGGGCGATAAGCATGTGAGTGATATGATTAGAAAAAGCAGCGCCCGCGACACACACACCCAAATCTCGATGGCGATCCAGAACCAACGTTCGGTAAATAAATTAATTGAGACCACCAAAGAACGGGGGACGCCGCGCGCAGATGCAAGCATACGTGCATCGACCGGACAATACTGCCCTTTCCTGAAAATCTGGTATATCCTTGATACCGGCGCGCACGAAAAGACTTCTTCTGTGTCCTGGCTACTACGGCCTTTTGTCGCCCTTGCCAGGGACGCTCAACCCCCCGTTACGTTGTGGTTTTTGTTTCATGTTTGTTTTCCAACAATGAGATCATCAGCTGATTCCCACCTGACTATGTAGCCATGTAGGTTACTTCAGTTTTGGGCGCCTCCTCGCCAGGCTCGTTCTGTTCCCTCTCGTTTTCTCTTCTGCGCCCTTTTGTGCGCATCAAACATACATCCTGCAACTATGCCATGCCATATGCCCGTCGTTTGGTCCGAACATCGAGTTTCACTGCTTCTGAGACATTGAATTTTGGATGCTTGGGCACCTCTTCGAAAATCTTGCCGTGACCACAAGTTTCTTTTTCCCTGATACCTCGTTTCATGGCAGGATTCGGACCGGGAAAGCTACGAAGACTCCGGCTCTGAGTACGACCCCGCGGCGGCCAGTGACGACGAATCTTGCACCTTCGACCCCAACGAGGAAGACAGCCGAAGCCCTGACCTGGTCGCACCGGCGAAGCGGAGGAGGCCAGGTCCTCCTTTGCGCTACATCGACCACAGCCTGCGCCCTGTCACCGACCGCTCCGTCACCGAGGACAGCGCCGCGGCTGCCGACGTGCCTTCGTCGCGCGCCAATGGCATGCCCGGCCGCGATGGGCGTTCTTCCCGCGCCGGCGATTCCTCGGTGTCATCCTCTCGCGGCGCCGGTGGCGTGTGTGACCGCCGTCGCCCTCTCCAGGCGGTTGCCCAAGCGCAGTCGTCAGTGTTGACGTTCGCTTCTTCGCACCCCCGTGTGGACGCAGCTGGCACCCTTCCTACCGGAGCGGGAGCGGGCATTGTATCCTCCCGCGCATCCTCCGCTGCAGCATCTACGAGCACCTCACGCCCCACGACGACCACCCAGCACCGTCTCTCCAGCGGCGATGCTGACGACCGCGGACAACGTGCAGGAGGCGGGTCTTCTCGACCTACGTGCGGCAAGAACACCTCGCCTGACCGTGGGAGGCTGTCGTCCCAGAGACAGGTCACCTCCGCCTCCGCTCACTCTGCATCTTCCGGAGGGAACGGCAAAAGGTCTGGTTCACGCGAGGGAGGGCCAGCCCCGGCGGCCTTACGTGCTGGCACACCTTCTGCTAGCTTTACCCAGATCGGGCGGGTTTCCTCACAGCCGCGGGGAACGGGCGGCGGAAGTGAGGCCATGGCCCTTACCCCGGGCATGAGTGGCCAAGCAATCTACCAGGCGATCAACGCAGCTGGCATTTCTCAAATGGAACGCGCGGCGCTTCTCGGCATCCTCATGTCGACAGTGGCACCCACGCACCAGCAGCGCCTGGTCAGTGTCTTCGTTGTGTTGGCTCGCATGTGCGATACGTGATGCACAGTTGTAGTCGTGAGGAGATGTGGTTCCGTTCGTCCGAAAAAGCGTGTGTCCACATCCCGTTTCGTGTGGTATTGACGTCCTGCGTTTGTTTGTGTTGATATTGTAGCGTTTGCCTCTCACTAGGTTTCAGTTTTCCCCCGCGTGAACGACGAGGGTGCACAACCCCAATACAACCCCACCCCCTCTCCCCTCTCGCGGCGGGTATATAGAGAATAAAATTGTGGCTTGACATATCCATCAATCTTCCGCCGCTGTTCCCCCGTCTTGCACCGACCCACGCCCTCCGCCGCGTATCCGTTGGTGGTCGGGGCCAAGCCGGCACGACAGCCGGTAAAGGGAGAGAGAGCGTCAAACGGGATTGATGCTGCCCTCGTCTCGGTGTTGAACGGGAAGACCCGTTTCTCTGGCGAGCAGCCATGCCACGAGAAGAGCAACGTCTTGCTGGCGGCGGCCGCCCTCGTCTACGTGGCAGCTCAGGAGGGAGACCCAGACTGGGTTGGTAAGGACTTGCGCGAATGGCGAAGTGTGTTTGGGCTCCATAGGTTCAAGTATGCCCATCGGCACTGTGATCCGGAGGTGGAAACTTCGATCTTTGTCCACACTAGAGTTTCATCGGCCGTGAAGGTCACCGCCCTTCCAATGTTTGCGGCTCCAGTTTCAATATTTCGTGGACTGCACACGGTATGTGACAGGGGAGAGTGCGGGATGCCCTACGCTGGAAGTGTGAAACCCTTAAAGCGCAAAGAATAATCCCCAACCCACGTCTCGTCATGGTGCCAACGTGTTTCCATTGCCAGCGTAGAAGGGCACGAGCGGTGCTCAACAGGCCAAGCTTTGAATGTCACTATTTCGCCCAAACTCTGTGGTATGCGGTATGGTATGCGGTACACACACGATTGGTCGAGCTTTGTGGCGCTGGTACTGGCCCACCGTTCTGCACACCATAGCTTTTTGCACGCACGGCACTCGATTGTCTTGCCATGTTCTCCTTCAACGTCTATGTAAACGTGGACGTGTCGGTCGTGCGCTTTGCTTCCCTTGCTGTGGTCAGCAGAGAGGTTCACCTCAGCGGTTGTGGCTGCCCGCTTGTACACGCACGGGGCCGTGCGAGAGGCCATGGTCCCGCTGACTGTACACCTCATCGACGACGAGTGCAATGAGAACGAACCCTGCACAAAGGAGGACATCTTCCGCGGCGCGCGGCAGCGGGCTCGCAATCTCGAGCCAGACGACAAGGCAAGCGTATACGTCTGAAGTCATCCACAGCGCCGACATGGCGCAGGCTTGCTCTGTTCAGCTAGCGGCATCAGCTAAATAGTGTCGTCCTAACATTGCGTTATATCGTCTTACCAAACACCTTGTACGTTCCCCGTGGAAATGTGTGTCGCCCGCATGTAAACACTACTGTCACAATGAACGCCGCTAAATACGATGTTTTCTTCACTCCGCACGACACAACCGCAGCCCGCGGTGGACTTCATGACCTCCGTGCTGGACTACCCGGTCCAGGCCGCACGACGGGCGTCGGGAAGGATGGACCTCCAGGACTGGCACCTGTACGGGGGGGCGTGACATAAAGAAGCAGTTCCTGAGGAAGGTGAGAAGAGCGGTAGCGAGTTCATATCGTTCAGGTTCAGTCGTGATTTGTAAATTTTGACAGATAGAAGGGACAGCATTCCTAACGGCTGGTGCAACATACTGTCGACTGCTAACGATCATCCTTCGAGCAACCTCTGACCGAAAGTACATAATCTGCATGCTTCCACCCCGTCGGCCCCCTCGAGCGTGAACAGGTAACCCTGCCCCTGCTGCTGATGATGCTCTGCGACGCGGACCACACTCAGCTTAAGGAGGCCGGGGACCTTGAATCCCGGCAGTGCTACGCCGAGCGCCAGGTGCAGGCGTTCTCTCACCGCCAGAATGGCGATTTTAAGACGAAGAAGGAGCGGGAGTTTAAGAATCTCGTGAGTGTTGTTCGGAAATGATTTTTGCGAGTCAACGAACAGAGACGGGTGTCCCTTTTGGAACGTTGCGTCGTTCCCACGACGTTAGGGCAGTCAGATATTTTTACATGCCGTATCTTGCGCCTGCAGCCTCGTAGAGTGCCGATGGGGTGCCTTATTTCACGTGTACTCTGGTGGGCGCATACTGAAAAGGCACACAGATCATTAGTCTAGTGTCATTGCTACCTCGATTTTTTGTACTTTGTTGCGTGCGCGTCAGTACACCCCAACAAACTTGCGAAATCTTCTTCGTCAAACCACCACGCCATGACACTCGCGAATGAATGTTTTCATATCTTTCGTTTTGTGTTCTTGCTGTCCTTCGCATAGCCTGTGGTACAGGCTTTTTTCCTTCGCCACCGGAACGTTCCGCTTCGCAGAACCCATTCTCAACGTGCGCAACGAGGAGTTCACCAACAAACGCATCATCGCGTACATCGCCCCGTTCGCAGGTAAGTTTTCACTGTGTTCGGGTTGTATCCGCCGCGTCCAACATGTAATTTCTACTCCGCGTTCGCGCAACTTGGGAACGTAAGAATAGACAGGAACCAAACACGTGCGTCGCCGTGTGCTTAAAAAGGCAGATAATAATGTCGTGTGTGTATGTTTCAAATAATGCTGACGTCGCGTTGATCGTGGCGACACCGCACTCACCAATCCCGGACGCATTCGCTCGTATTTTCCGGCCGCGACAAACACACGCAGGCGCCAACAGCGACCGCTTCCGGTCGCCGGGTGATGACATGGTCGTCTCGGAGACGCCTCTATGCCGCGGCGACGATGTCATCGTCGAAGACAGCGATTTAGAGGAATACCTGAACAAGTCCCCGTAGGCTTCAGGTACTCCTCTACGCTGTCTTCGACGATGACATCTTCGCCGCGGCATCGGCGGCCCTATCAACCCGGCAGCATTGTTGTATCTAGCATTGCTCAAGTATGGCGTGATACAGTCTCGAGTGGTTTGTGAAGGAGGGGGCGGAAAGCCCTGGAGGTTGCTGCTGGATATTATTTGCTGTATACCGGAGTATGGTGCGAACATGCAGAGCTTCACGTAACCTGAAACGTAGTATCTTGTGTTCGCGTGCCCGTATGCGGGGGGCGACTCCAGCACTTGTCGTACAGCACCGCCATGTTTGCATCGCCTGTGTCTTGTCGCTTTTTGTGTGCCCCACACAGGTGATGTTGTGTCATTGTTTTTCCCTGCATTTGCTTGTCTCATGTCGGTGGGGTATGGGCGTTGATGCCGTTTTGCGATGCCCACGCGTGTTTTCGCTGAATTCATGGCATGGCGTGCGCCTGTCTCTCGATATCGGCTTACGTTTGGTTTCCCTCCTGTATGACTGGCGTGTCATACTTCTATAGCTTCTAAGCTCATTGTCGTTGTCTAGTCTACCCCTTGTAGTACGGAAGCACTCGCCGCGACTTGGACTGTCCACATTGGGAGTGAAGTCACCTGGTGCGAACACTAGTCCGAAGTTTTTTCTTAGTTCAGGGAGATTCGTGCGTCGTCCGTAACGGGGATGGTGCGGTAAGTAGTGTTGTTGCGATATTTGTCGCTGTGTGGTTTTGCACGCAGAGCTGAGCGTACGCATATATATGAAGCCCATGCGGTCCTCATATTTTGCGTTTCTCCTCTGCATTTGGTTGTCGCGTATCGGTGGGGTAGGGGCGTGGATGCCGTTTTGCAATATGTTCACGCTACTTCTCTCGCAGCGCATGGCGTGCCTGAACACTCATCATCGCGTGTATCGCTTCGTCTGGCGGGGGTAGGGGCTGGCGGGCTGGTATATACGTGCGTCTTGTGACATGGTTGAGACATCGCCGGCATGAACATCTGCGAACGAACGCGCTTGGGCTCGCTCGCACCGTACAAGTCGGCTTCGTCGTGCTTTCTATCCTTTTTTGGGGTTGATACCGTAGGCATCAGACAATAACATGCGAATATCCAAGGGCCGTGCAAGGTGCACTTATAATCCCCTGCCATGGTTGGCACCCAGCCACCCTGCCAAGCCTGCCGCCCTGGCAAGGCGCGAACCCTGCAGGGTCTCGCCAAGGTTATACCCCTACAGGGTCTCGCCAAGGTGCTGCACCCTATAGGCACCTCGTAAAGTGGCGACCCTACCGAAGGTATAACTTGTTGTGACGACCTTGGGGGAGGGGCTGTCGCCCACCCTGCACAGGGAGCAGAATGGCTACGTGTGAAAATGTTGCGTTCTCAGCGCCCGAGAGAATTTTCCGGTGCTCCCAATGAATCTTTAACGTGAAATATTGTTAAGTGTAATAGGTGTGGTTTAGTGTGATGGGCGACAAGGGAGGACGCTTTGCGGACACACGACTCGAAGGCCTTTTTACCGCACTGCAGACGTCACTAGGCTCCGCCGTGCGAAACGTGCGCGAGAACCCTTGGTCTACCATGCTTGCGTGGGGTGGTATGCTGTGTGATATAAAATGTGTGACGCCTCTCGTCGGCCTCTGACTTGCTGCATACGTATCTCCCAAGCCGCATGTCCCCCCTGTTGGTAAAAAAGTCTGCACTGCTGTACAATTAATAATTAGCCGCGGAACGCGAAGCGCTATATTTTCCCCTTCATCCTCAGGAGGGAAAAAAGGGCTCTAAATATCGGGCGCTTTCAACCATCGCGCTGTAGAGCGACCCTTCCGCAAATAAATTCTTTCTCTTTATTTGACGAGAACGACGTCTACAGAGCACCGATTTACGATGTGCTGGGTTGTGAGGAGGAATCTAATTAGGGCACTCGTCACACCGGTTTCATCGCGCTCTGACAACAGATGGTCGTGCTTGACACGCATTTGTTGCAAAAATCATCGAAAAGTTCCCGGGAGTTCGACGAGAGAAAGAGGAAAACGAACACGAAGGCGGACATCTCCTACACACACAGCAGTAGTAGCAGCCGCTCGATTTCCAGCCCGGGGGACACAGAGGAAGCACTCCGTAAGCGAAACACGCAACACCGCTGAGGTACAAGACCGCACTGGCGTGGGAAGGGAGCCACACACACAGCTCGTGGCGGATATCATCGCCACTACTGTGCTTTGACGGATGGGGAGAGGGATCATCGGAAACGAAACCTTCGCGCCTGGGGCAAAAAACTACCAACAACGATGATCCCAGCAGACAGAGACAGACGCGGCGTTTTTCTTGCTGTTGCAGGCTATACCAAACGCTCGCGTTTCTGACCGTACTACAGCCTCCTAGTCGGTGTTAATCTCCACACAAAAACGGAGAATGGACACAGCTCGTGGTGGATACCTTTGTTATTCCTGTTGCCTTCGTGTGTCAGGGAGGAGTCACCCGCACAACAGAACTGCTGTGCCCAGGGGGCAAAAAAGAAGAGCCTTCTCGAACCAACGTTTGCAGAGGCCAAAACATCAACACGTGTGTGTGCGATGAGTATGCACTCAAAGACGATGGATTGCTCTGCCAGACATCGCTCCACATACAGAGGACCGGGAGCCAGTCGCTTTGGTTGTTGGGCGAGGACGGCCTCGCAAGCGCAAGAAAAACCACACTCACTCTGCCCGTGCTTGAGAGAATGAATATTGCCTTCCTTTCGTGTTATCTGACACGTGTGTGTGTGCATGGACTTCATCAGCAGGCTTGATTTCCCCTACGACGATCGACAGTAAATTTTGCGTGTACTCTTCAAGGGACACCGCGCGAGGACAAACACACTCCTCCACCGTTGTACCGTCCATTCCGATAGAGCTGGCGCTGGGATCCAAACCAAGCGGTAGGATGGTGCTATAACCAGGTGTGCACGACTCAATATACCACAAAGTGTGTCGAGAGACACGATGCGCCACCCAAAAGACAGCAGCGCGACAGACACCCGCCGCCACACAGTAAGTTAGCGATAGGTGGAAACCTTTTCCTTGACAAAAAATACACCCCGCCACTTTCAACGGTCTTCCCCGCAAGTGCAACGGTCTTCTCGAACGGACACAAAGGCAACAGACACGAATTTCCTGTATTTCATTTTATTTGTACTTGAGGCTCCCCGCCGTGCGCGCAATGACGGAGCGCATACGCAGACGGTAAGACGCGGGTTACGCCAACCGAAAATCGCCGCACGCGCGAATTGCCTCGGGCTTGGCTGCTGTATATGGGGAATCTACGAGTTGCGCTTCGGAGGCTCCACCGCAAGGGGGATGTAAGCGTCGCGTGGATAAACTCTTGGCGGCACTTGATCGAACTCCCCAGCCCAAGCATTGCGAGCACTCCTCGAGGCCAAGGAATCAGGCCATATCTTGCTCGCCGGGTATCTCTACCACAAGGTGCGCGTCTCTCACCCGCTGCCTCCCTACTGGCCTACGACGCCTCCAGACGGTGAGAGAATTTTAATGAACACGGCCGTCTAAAAACGCTGTCAGATAAAAAAACTCTTCCCGTACACACCCGGCCGCGTTGCCCTTCAACTCACACCCCGACTTGAAAAATCGAAGCTCCCCAAGGCTACATAGTTCACTCGGGAACAACCAAGACTCATTCCAATCAGCGCCGTCTGCACGGCAAACGCGCGTGGCCAACACCCAACAGGTGCGACCACCCCCCCTACACCCCCAGGGCCCTAGCGAGGCGGACCTCCGGTCCACTGAGCCCCTCCCCAGGTGGGGTTTCCCTTGGCATCGTATCGGATGTTTTGGCCAGGGTATCCGGTGCCTGCGGCTGCCGCAGGCTGCGTGACTGGGACAGCGGCTCCGGCGTGCGGCTGCTGGGGAATGGGCGCCCCCTGCTGAGGGGGGTACGCGTAGAACGCCCCCTAGTGAGTAGAGCGGGCAATCGTGGTGGGGTAACACGGATAGCCAATTAGCCTTGGGCTCCAACAGACCGGTGCAAGCAAGGCCCGGGGGCGTAGGCAAAGATGGGGGAGACAAGCAGCGAGTAAAAAACAAAAAAGGAGCATCAACCTCTGTGTCAACCCCCCTTGCGCCAAAAGTTGGCGGAGGCGAGATGCATGGCCGCACGCAACAGGACTCCGCTTCAGAGAAAACCCATAACTCCCATACTCAAACAAAAAAATATCAGCATTCATGTACGGTAGGAACGGTGCCGGCACCTCTGCCATTTGATTGGTCGGGGGATACCTACGCTGCGTGGAGGAGGGTTTTGGCTGAGAAAAATCGCTCACCACCGGGACAGAGTCAAAACGTCAAAACCCCCGAAACGTTAGGCGACCGAAATAAAGTTTAAAAGGTTCTACGTCACGGTATCAGCTTGGGGAGAGGGAGAGAGGGAGAGAGGACAGCATATTAACCGGCCGCCTCACTGCGGATAACAAAACAACTTTGTCCATGGCGTCCTCTAAACTGAACAAAGTAAAACTCGACAAACTTCACAAAAAACGAAAAACAAAACAAAACACCCGTATACTACAAAACAACAAAGGAGGATTTACAAGTTCATGTAGCGTACTTTCGAATGAACAGACAGAACACGAAACGCGGGGTAGTGTTGGCCTACATACCTGGGGCGCAGCCGTTGTGGGTGCCTTCGTCTGCAGAAGCGCGTTGGCGAGCTTCGAGCGCAGCGAGTCCATGGTGGGGAAGCCCGCTGCCCCTGGAGGGACCTGCTGCTGCTGCTGTTGCTGCTGTTGCTGTTGCGGCGGAGGCTGCTGTGGCGGCTGCTGAAGCAGCTGCGGCTGCTGCTGCACATACCCCGGGTGTTGGAAGCTGTGGGCAACCTGTCGCAGCAACCGACCAGGGCATGTACCCCCCAAACAAAAAAACGTCCCACTTTAGTGGTCTCTGCGTTGGGGGTAAAGAGCACAAGATTGCTCGAGCTTGTGACCAAGGCAAATGGAGGTGTTCAGCAACAAACGAGTGAGAAGCTATGACAAGATGTCACCCACGTTGAAGGCATGCGGGACAATTACACGCAAGGATCCTTCACGTATATTGAATGCACACACAAATCTCATCTTTGTCGATCTTCAAGATTTCATCCACGGTTAAGACCTCCGTCTGATATTTCGTTGTGGCTGGGAGAGACGACACGCTACCGCTGTGAAAAAACGATGCCACCGAATAGTACTGAGAATAGAGGGCGGCTCTCCCTTGAGCGATCCCTCTTTCTGTGTGGCACGCGGTCGCCGAACTCTACCTCTACAGCGCCAACGGAAACAAGGAGGTTCACCAACAACCGTAGAAACAGCAACAGTCACGACGACAAGCAAGAAGCAACAAACACAACAACAACAAGCAAGAGGCAACAACGACAACAACAACAGTAGCAACAGCAAGCAATATGCAACGACCACATGGCAGCAGCAGCTCACCACAGGCTGAGGTGCTTGCTGGGGAGCAGTCACGTAGTACGCGGTGGGCGCCACCGCAGACACCACGGGCGCCGGCTGCTGGTAGTACATCGGCGCCGCCTGCGGCGGTTGCTGCCCGTAGAAGACCGGCTGTTGCTGCTGCTGCTGCGGGGGGGCCGCAACCAGCGGGGGTACTGCCTGCCCGTAGTACCCCTGACACGAGGTGTCATAGCGAAAGACGAAATTTTCGGCGAAGGAATAACGTTGTGACAGCTGGTCGTAAAAAAAGCAACAGAGAAAAACAATATCGATTACCGAATGGTGCGAGTCAGCGCACAGGGGTGCGATGGATTTTCAAAGCGAACTTTGTCCACAACCAGAAGGGTGCGAACGCCAACTGATACTTTCAGGAAAGCTCTCGATGAGATACTTCCGAAACCGCCCTTTTCCACAGTGGTAACCTCCCGGTTGCGGAGACATTACCCTTTGAAAATCGCTCGCACCCCTGTGCACTGACTCGAAACCTTACGGTATATACGAAGGCTGAAAAAAACAGAAGCAGCTCTGATCGATCGGAGAAATACTACCTAAGGTGACGCGTTTGGAGTCAAACATCGCCATGTGCACGGCCTGGAAGGTGGTGTGAAATACGTCGGCGAATATTTTTGAACGTTTCTGGTTCAGGCTTTACAGCCTAAACAGACGCAAGGGTCCGGTGCGCCAAACCTTGGCAAGACAGTCACCCTCCGACCATGAAACCAAGAGCCAGTAGTACACGACACGACACCTCGTCTGTGTTGTCTGGGAGAGTTCCATGATACAGCAGCAGTCTCAACTGACTGCCTGAAGAGGGGATGTACATCTTTTTACGTGCCATACCATTTTCTATTAGGCGTCGATCGTTCTTGTTCGAAAGTTTCCGTACGGTTAATGATGGACGCACCGATTGGGGTCACACCGGAAGAAGCCCAACACAGAATACCCCCAAACAATGCTCCGTACTTGCCATGAACCATTGGCGTCAGGCTCAGCAAGCCTGGCACACACACATACCTGGGGAGGCGGTACCTGCTGCTGGTGCTGATAGTGCGGCTGGTGCTGGCGCTGGTGCTGCTGACGCCCCTGGTTTTTGCGCCCCTGGTGATTACGTCCCTGGTTTCCTCCGTTGCGACCTACCCGCCCGCTGAGGTTGGAGAGAGAAATGAGGCGCGAGCAGCAGAGGGGGTAGGCAAGCAGACGGCCAACCGACAAACCACATGTCAGTTTCAAAGAAGGCTTGTCTGGACAGGGGGGTTAACGCAAAAGAGGAGAAGCGTGTGGACACAACCCGGAGCCAGTTGGTGGACCCAGCCCGCCGAGAATAGTCGATCTAGCACGAATCTTCGGGAGGGGGACCGACTCTATTGCGGCCTGTCTGGGGATTTGCCAAGACAACAACAACTGCAACAACAACAACAACCACAGCAGCAACAACTGCAACAATAACTGCAACAACAACAACAAGCACAGCAGCAACAACAGCAACTGCAACAACAACAGCAGTAACAATAACAACAATAACAACAACAACAATAACACCAACAACAACAACAACAACAGCAAGAACAACAACGACGACGAAGGCAACAACAACTTTAACAACAACCAAATGACGACGTGAGCAACAAAAAATCAAGCATCACCTGTTCCGCTTGGGGGTCGGCTCCTGAGAGCCCCAGCGCCGACTACCAGTGGGCTGGTGCATGTGATGCATGTCCTCGTAGCCCCCGTGGTAACTCCCTCTGCCACTTCTTCCGCCCTGTTGGTAGCCATACCCCTGCTCGAACAGCAAAAAAAAAAGAAGTCGTACGTCGTACGGTCCACGTTAGACGAGGAGCTTGCAAACTCAACATATATTTTCTTGTGTAACTTGCATGGTGGGGTATTCATATGCACCCCAAACCCAGCTCCTTCTCTCTCTCTCTCTCTCTCTCTCTTCGTCTCTTTCGCTCTTCTCATCACCTGCGACTGTCCGTGGTATCCTCCTCCGCCGCCCCCGCCCAGCTGATGCCTTATCATCCGCTGCCCGGCGCCGAAGCCACCCTGGTGACGCCCGCCTAAGTCGGTTAACAACATCATGAAACAATTGGTAGTGAGGGAGTGAGGGGGCGGGGAGGGGGGCACTTTTGGCAGGTCCTTCCCTCCACAATGACAACACCAGCGCTTGGCGACTGCTTCTCTCCTGGTGAACCCATACTTGAGCGAGAACCACAAAAATGGTTCTCTCATCCACATAGAGGGTTGCATTCAACAAACGCCGAACGTTTGGCAACTCCTTGCCCCCCTCGCACTCAAACGAGTGTGCAGCAAGAAAATATCACGCTCACTGACTGACTGTCTCTCACCCTGCTGCTGATGCGGGTTGTACTTTGTGGAACCCATCTCCGCGATGCTCATGTTGCGGTTCAGCCGAGGGGGCCGGCGGCTGACAAGGTCCTGAGGCAGGAGTGTTTTGGGGAGCGCCTCCACCCCTGGAAGCATGCGGCACACGTGCTCCCCCTTGAGACAGCGTGCAAACAGTAGGCACGGGAGGCGCGAAATGGCGATTGGGG